TAACTTTTATACGACCTGCATATATCTTCTATATAATGTCAATGATTCTTTACCTTCACATGCGCCTTGTATGCCTTTCATTTGACCTCACATAGCCTTCATATAATATAGCCTTCATAACATAGAGGTTACGTGCAGGTCGTATGAAGATTGTACAATGCTCATGTGAAAGTTATGTAGGTCATATGCAGGTTATATGGAAGTTGCAGGCTTTATGAAGATCATGTGAAGGTTATGTACGTCATATACAAGTTATATCATGTAAAGGTCGGGTGGAAGTCGTATGAAGGGCAAATTGACGTTGTGAATCGCATGTGATGGTCAGATAGAGGAAATATTTAGATTATATGGTAATCAGATGGGGATTATATGAGGATTATGTAAAGGTCATATGGAAGTTCTTTGAAACTCGTGGAAGGATCATGTGGGAGGTTCTGTGGAATTTATATGGAGGTCGATTGAATGCCAGAAAGAGGTCGTTTAAAGGGAATTTTTTAACTCATATTCTGTCAACTGGAACTAATATGAATGTCAAATGGAGGAAATGGGTCAGACTGAAGTTGTATGAAGCGCTTGTGAAGACCATATGGAAGTCGTATAGAGGTCATGTGAAGGTCATATGGTGGTTAGGTGGCTATAATAGAGGAGGACGAACGCCTAACCTAACCTCCATATAACTTTTATACGACCTGCATATATCTTCTATATAATGTCAATGATTCTTTACCTTCACATGCGCCTTGTATGCCTTTCATTTGACCTCACATAGCCTTCTCATGACCCTTAAATACCCCATATAACTTTTCCGTGACCTTCGTATGACCTTCATAGATCCCTCATATGACCTTCACATCAACTTCATCCTACCTCCTTATGAACGTTATAAAGCCTGCATGTAACCTCCCCATAACTCCCATATAACCTGCATATGACCGATATAACCTTCACATGAGCTTTGTACAATCTTCATACGACCTTCACATAACCCTCACGCAACCTCCTTATGACCTTCACGTCACCTTCATAAAGCCTGCATCTGACATTCATATAATTTCCATATAACCTGGCTATGACCTACATGACCTTCACACAACCTATATGTGTCCTCCATACCAACAACACATAACCCTCATATACCCTTCACATAATCCCCATCTGACCTCCGTATAATATCAATTTGACCTCCCTTCGAACTTCACATACATCGCATATAACCATTACATAACTCGTACATTTTATATACGGCGAAGTCATAATTTACCTCAATGTTGAAAAATTATTCATCTTTCAATTATTAATTTATTTATTCATTTATTTTATTATAGAACATCCTCTGAATTTAACCCCCTATTCCTCAATTATACCGAAGCATATAGAGAAAAAAACATAATTTCCGTCAATGTGGGAAAATTGTTCATTTTTCGAGTAATGAACAAAATTCTATTATTCATTTATTTATTTATTTATTTGGTGGCCAACGGCTATGGAAAACGGCCACGAATTCCAAAATACCTATTGCCACGCCATGGCCGTCGGCCATGTCCGATGCCCATGTCCGACGGCCATGGAAATTATTGTACGTGTACAGTCATGCAGTCAGTAGTTATTAACAATTTAATTATTGAAATGCGTTTCACGGCGCCATTTTAATTGATATCAAAAAATGCTTCAAGCAAACAATGATCCTTGGAATTTAACGAATACAACGACTTCTGATTTTTAGAAATTGGTAGATTTTTGCGGAAGATATAACATTTTGCTAAAATTGGGCGGAGATGTCACCAGTGACGCGTGGAGTGGTCACCAGGGCCCAGTTTTTGCAAACTATTATATCTTCCGCAAAAATTGGCTAATTTCCACAAATCAAAATCCATTTTGTTCCTTAGATTTAAGGACTATCGTTTACTTGAAGCATTTTTTACATCTATCACAAAGGCCGAGTAAAACGCATTTCAAGACTTAAATTGTTAATAACTATTGACTGCATGAGTGTATTGCGAGCTGACTGACAAATTCAGTTTCAGCACATCAAAAAACATGAAATATGTGACTTTCAAGGGTTCATTGGCTTTTCATACCTTTTACTGTCAGTGTATAGACTATTTTTTTTCTAAAGAAGGTAGACGGTGCTAGTATATCTATAATTTGCGTGGAAAGATTTTTCGAGGATGTTAAGAATCATCAAGTTCGACATTGGTCTTTGAGTTTCCGCTTCGTTGGATTAAAGTTTTTGATCCAACATTATTTGGCGAGCCGAATACACTCGATTGAAACGCAGCATTGAGTGGCTGATATGGGGCTGCGTCTGCTTTTATTAAAAAAATAGTATCTCATCAAATTGTGGAAAGTAGCTCACGAAAATTTAATACAAACTTTACAACAATATACTATACAACATAATTTTTTTCCAAATTTTCATAGTGGAACTGTCCATGTTACGACGTTTTCTATTATTGTTTGTTTAAAAAATAATAATGGTTTCTATTTTTGTCAATTAAAAGTTTTTTCCATTATCTTTGATCTTTCCTCGACAAAAAAGTTGTTTGCACTTTTCGCATAAGATGCATAGTTATGGTCTTATAAATTTTCAAATTCAAGCCTCTTTGTTACTCGGTCCTATTTTTCAATTGTTATAATTAACACCAGAAAAATAATTTCCAAAGTTTGTCGATAATGAATCATATCTATGGGTAAAATTAGTGGTCGATGAGTGGCTGTAGTGGTCACGCGGGGAGTGTGTGGCTCCGGCGGTCATCCGAGCTAAGCAGCGTTCAGTCTGCCCAGTACTTGGATGGGTGTCCGCTTAGGCACACCTAACCGCGTGGGACTACAGTCGCTAAGCACGAATGTAGAGAACCACTGCGCCCATTGAATCAGTGTGACCAATGGACGCAGTGGAATCCCTCCATTATCGGCCGGCTGCACGACTGAGGTTTTCCATGGTTTCCCTGGCAGTCCAATCCCGAATGGGGTACAGTTGGGGATAAAGTAAGTCGGCCCATAGTATCGCAGATAGGGAAAGGGAACAAAATGCAAAAACCCGAGAGGGTATACATATGGAACCAAAAATAAAATAGTGGTTGATGAAGATAATATTGACAGTTTCGCTTCCAGGTATATTCATGGATTTTTCATTTTAATTAATTGAAATTTGTTCTTTCAAATTCTTACTTTTATGAAATGACGATGATATTTATATCTATCAAATGTTCCGCGCAGCAATCCTAATTGAATTATATAGCGAAAATTAGCCCATTAAAAATAGAGAGAAGAGCATCGATCGAACATGGTTCTCGAATATTGCCCGAATTTGTCATTTCAACACGGGCATAAAATCGGAATACGATAAAATACATCATTTGTCCCTTTGTTTCTTTTTTTTACTCAAAGATCACATCAGTCCGATCGTTAACGTGCTCGCAAACAGTACGTCTGTCACAGCCTATAAAATAAATTTCTATTATTCTTTTCCATTGCAAAAACGATTTACAATTTTCACCCACTTTGAAGGTATATGAATACATCTCAATAAAACCAAACAAAACAAAACAAAATTGGGATTATAATAAAATTATTCTACAATGTTCTCCAATTATCTTTTTTTCTTTTAATAATTTTCAAACTTGATTCCACTTCTTTCCTGCCATCTCCTATAGAACCCTTTTCCCATCGAAGGTCACCCATCACCAATACTATACATACCATCGTACAAATATTATTAATCCTATCAATAAATATTGGATCATAACGCGGTGAATGTTACAAATAGTTATATAGTTTACAAATCTCTGACATCATCTCTGAAAGTGTTTTTGTAGAATTATATTGCTTTTTTTGAAGTAAATCGTCCCCCATGAGGTTCGCAGCGTGACGTCCTTCTTCGTTTCTGTTATTTATAATTTTGCCTTTGCTGTCAGTGGTTCAATTGATAGCCTGGCTGGCCGCCGCAGATGTTTGTGGTTCCTGGTGATTCGCTTGTAATCAAGCTTCGGCGCATCCTTCTTTCGAAATTGAAATCATGTTTGATCGTAGGCAAACCAGTGTACTCTCTGAGTTTGATGGGATATTCGGTAACTCATTTTCGGTTCTGCCAGCGTGACGTGTGCACTGACATGAATTGGTGTGGGGGTGGTGAAGACGTGAAAAACATTCACTGCAGACACGAACGGGATTGTAAAGTTGCTCGGAGGGTAGAGGAGTAGAATTTTCGGAGCAATCAGCGCAGAATATTTTGCCACAACATCTGAAAAATTATTGAAAATATTCCATTAAAATTAACGATCAATAGGCATCATTTTTGCTTCCGAATGGAAGCTCCGTCATTAATTTAGACGAACTTTTAATTTTGCCGGGAAATGCTGTAGAATCATCTCATGAAACGTGAAAATATGATGTTTTTAGAAATTGGGTGTATGTATGGCTGGATGTGTGTGTGAATTTTTCGGAAAATTCTGATAAATCTTTACAGAGAAAGGACTGAAGTTGAAGTTAAAAATCTGAAATTTCATCACATAATTACTCACGTAATTAATTTGTGACTTTTTTCATCACATAATTATTTTGTATTACTTTGGAGCATTTCTGGGCACAATTTCAGCTCAATCGGTCAATTAATTTTTGAGATACAGTTGTTTATTAAAGTTCTGAAAAAAACGGTGGGGGGTCAAGTGCATCGGAATCCATTCACGGAGAGAAAACAATCGGAAATAGTCTTGCGATCGCAAGACTTTTCCCGAAGATTCCGACGAAGGGTGCCCCTCGGGTGAAAAAATCAGGAGAAATCCGATTTGAACTCCTTATTGATAATGAATTATCGAAAGGATTCGAATATATAGACTGTTCAAAAAATGTCTCGCGTTCAATCGGGAAAATCCTGACAATTTTCGGAACTTTCTTAAATCAATTACAGTAGACTCCTGCACAGAGAAAAAATGGATTCACTTTAGAAAATAGTTTCGAGATTTTAGAAACTCGGGCAAGGATAAAGCTTAAGAAAATGTTCTTAAGCTTCATCCTTGCCCGAGTAGAAATGTTGTCGGTTTCCCATTGGTTATCGATGAGGTGCAACCGACATGGTCACTGGTTCCAGATAGGTTTCGACCAACAAGGAACTCATGAAAACATCACGCAGTTACCTCACAAGTTACAAGTACGTTGTAACCCATAAAAAACTCACGTGATTATTTATCAACCTCATTATTATTAACAATTTGTCAATGATGAATAACTCATTGATTGCCATGGGAAAGCATGCCTAATGATAACAATCGATTTATACACACAGAAAGGAAAAAAAAATCACTTTATCGGTGAGTGGTCACCCATCCAATTCCGAACCTTACTCGATGTTACTTAACTTTGGTGATCGTCTGTTGTTCTGAGGTCCAAGTCCACTATCTTGTGATTCTTGGGAATATAACATTTAGATATTCTAGATTAGGCGAAGATTCGGATTCTCTGATGATTGACATATGATTTTGCCTAAACCGTAATTATGACCCTTGCTAATTAATGAACCTTATTTCTGACCCTCGCGATTCTTAGTTGTGATCCTTATTTCTGACGTTCGTTCCTGACTCTTGTGACCCTTATTTCTGACGTTTATTTTTGACTCTCATTTCTGACCCTAGTGACCTTTATTTCTGACGTTTATTTTTGAATCTCATTTCTGACCGTCATGACCCTTATTTCTGACGTCTATTCTTTATCCTCATATTTGACCCTCGTGACCCTTATTTCTGACGTTTATGTTTGACTCTTATTTCTGACCCTCGTGACCGTTAGTTTTTACCCTTTTTTGTGAGCCTCATTCATGACCCATGTGACCCTTATAAGGGACAAATAAGTGACAAAGAGGTTGAGCTACATAAGTTAGCGATCGGTGGTAAACTTATCTGTCACCCACAATGATCATTCCTAGTAGTATTGTTGCGTTTGAAGCTTACAACAAAACTGCAACAAACTCATAGGTTCCCAATGCACATTGGTGGCTCCTGACAAAATTTCTACTCGGGTGGTGGGATCATAAATCTAATGAATTTGGAGATTGTTTTTAAGACCAAATATTTTCTAAAACCAATGCTGAATTTATCTTAATTTAAAAAAAAATTCAGATTAAACTAACAACGACTCATGGGGTGGTCGATTATGAAAAACTAGTTACGGTCGGACCAGGATCGACTTGAAGAAAGTCGATTGTGACTCCATTGCCCGCATATTATTCACATCAATCGACCCACAATCGACCAGTTTTTGAGTCGTTTCATATAAGTAAATAATACGAAGTCAATCGAGTAATAATCGACTCAAGGATCAGTCGATTCGCCCACTAGAATTATGAAAACTATTATGAAACGACTAAACAACTAGTCGATTGTGGGTCGATTGACTTGAATAATGAGGACAATCGAGTCACAATCGACTTTCTTCAAGTCGATCCTGGTCCGACCGTAAGGAGTCTTTCATAATCGACCACCCCATGAGTTTTGGTGCAATAAATTTTTGTCATTCGAAATTCACTAGCTATCAACTTCCTATGAAGTCGATTCATCTTCGATTCCATCAATAATCTGAGATCTGAATCGAACTACACTCGCATACGAATCGATATACTGATCAACTCGATTCTACAATTGACACTCGATCGAATCTCAATGGGGGGATTGGCCAGGGGTGGCGGCGCCAGCTTACGGAGGCTGGAAATGGAGGGCTCAGCTGACGATCTGGAAAATATCTGAGGATGCCTGGACCGACATTGGACGTCCATGGAAAAATGCATCCGACGATGGAATAATTATTTCTAATTTTATTGAAATGATTGGGGAGGTTTCGACTCCAAATCGGTGATTGTCCCACGGTTTGTAATGGACATGATTTGACTTATTTCACTTCGTCACACTCAGCCAATAGGAGCCTCGGACGCCTGTTGGAGCGTTGTCGCGTGGGTTAATTGCATGGGCAATAGGCACTTCTCGTCTGGACGTCGTCGTGGCCGCTGTGCAAAATTTTCGTTTGTCTTAAATTTCGACATAATTTTCGATAGTTAATAGTTTGTGGGACACGAGAGTCGTCAGAGGACTACTTTGCCGTTTTGCGGAGCTTTTGGGGTTGCTGATCGACGGGTATTCTTCTTTTTTTATCGGTGAGCGGTGGTTCTATAGAAAAGAACATTGTCAATTTGCGTGTCTTACAAGGTGTGGAACCAGCCTTTGATTTCAACGGACGCTTGGTCCGTGGCGTTGACGCCATTAGAGTTTTCCATGATTTTCGGCTGGTTTTCACTACTCGTTCGACAGAGGAATATATTTTTCATCATGCTGTGACGAAAAGTGAACTTTTCGACATGCGCCGCGTGCCTAAAAGTCCAATTTCCGCCACATTGTGATGAAAAATATTGTTCGTAACTCGTGAAAAAATGTTTTGCACTCGTTACGAAATATACCATTTTGCCACTGCTGCTACGTTCAGCCCGTGTCGAAAAGTGCTTTTTCGTTTACTAGTAAACGAAAAATGGCACAGTTCGGCACTCGCTGAACGTAACATCAATAACAAAAAATATAGTTCGGATACACGTGCGACGGGGTGTTTCAACTCGTCGCACTTGTATCGAAATATACTATTTCAGGTCCATTCAAATCTTTACTCTTGGATATCGCTCATTTGTCGGCGATTTAGTTTGTTAAAATTCTATCGAGTTCAGTGATTTTGACTGCAATTTTGTGTCATTTATTAGACACTCGTTTCGCCATCGCCATGTGATATTATCGATTTTCCGGCGGTTTGAAATCTCGAGGTCAGTTGTGTTATCTCCTCGGGATTATTACTTTTGTCTCTCAGCTAACGTTTGGCCAATTTAGCATCGCTTTCATTTTCGGCCTAAATAGTATTTCGTTTGAGAATTAATCGTGTTTTCGGAAATGGGATTGTAGCGCATTTTCGGCGCTCGAGTTTTATTTCGTCGCCGACTGATCTTCTGTCAGTTGGCGGTTTCCGTTGTTTATATTCTCACGAGGCAATCCCCCTCTCAAACTCACGTGGAGTTGCCTCTCCCTATTGGGACCGCTAATTACCGATGGCGGCGCTCGTTTTCACCAATATGGACGATTTTAGGCTTCCCATATACACGCTAACACAAGCCCAAATTGGGTTGTATACTGTCTGTGTGCAGCCCAATATCCGCCATTCATAGGTGGCGTTTTGATATTTAGCGTTTCCAATCGCCACTTTGGTGGACGCGCTGAGCGCTCGGGGTAATAGTAGTTCCCTACTCTGCGATTATTTGACTCCGAGTAAATTGACTAGTGATTTTATTTTCTGACTATCTTTTGACTTTCTCTGACTTTAATTTTTAATCTTGACTAGTATTTTATTTCCGGACATATCGCAGAGCTAGAGGTTGTGTTGTATCGAGTCATTTGTCTTTATTTTATTTATTTATTAATTTTTCCCCGAGTTCGGACGCCAGATTGAGAGACCGAGACGAGGTTTTATTATTGCATTTATAATCTAACTTCTAGTGACTTTGATAAAATACTGAGCTGTCGGCTGCTGTTCTGTGATTTGTCGTTAATTGTGGTTTCGTATTGAGAAAACGAAACGAACTTTTGTTCGTTTTGAGAAAACGATCTGGCGTCCAATTTTTTGGTTGTGAATTTGGACGTCGAGGGCTGCGTATTTTCGTTCCGTTTCCGCAGAGGAGCGAAATACTTCACAGTGAGTATGTATATGTGTGTACTATAAAAAAAATTTTTTTTCGCAATTTTCTTCATAGGAGCTAGATGACATTACATGAAGTTTTGCACGGACATAAATGTTAAGGGGCTCTATTCATCGACACCAATGAAAGTTGAATTATTTATAGTTTGTGAAATATTGGTATTTGTTCAAAAATCGATTTTTCGACGCTCAATCCAAGAATTGTTATCAGAATGAAAAGAATCATGGCTTAAAAATTTTGTATTGATAGCCTCTTGATTCTATCAGAATATGATACGGATCGCATCTATCACTGTTGAGCTACAGTATATATTAGGTGTGTGACTTAGTTTTTGCAGATTTTTCAGTAAATTTATTTAATATAAAAAAATAGAGAACAACGAACATAATCTTGAAAATATTGTCCATCGTTTTCTATGAACTTGCGCCATCTCTCAGGTAACATTCGAATGCCGTCGCGAAAGAAACTTGCAGGCTTCGAGGCGATAAATTCATCGACGAATTTACGCACATTATCCAGTGTTTTAA